GATTTAAGGCATCTAGACGCAGCCTCCAAATTTAATGGAAGAAGCCTGAAGGTTAAACAAATAAAATCTAATGGGTAGAACAAATCAGTATACGCAGGGCAGCAAGTGCAACAGATTTTAAATTTTAATTGATAGACCTGACGATGATGGGATGAACATCGAAACATGTCGTCATTTTAAAATGTAACAATATCAAATGAAGAAATGTTATAATTTTATGTGATTTTAACAATCTATAAGCTTGTGTAAAGACGGTGAATAAAATTATTATATTGAAGAACACAAGCATGACGCAATTAAGATATAAAAAAAAAAATTACATGTAACTTCAGATTATTCATATTGGAGGGTAACACTACACAAACCAACAAGAATGTATTTTTACAGCTCAGGGAGTAAAGGTGATTGACACAGCAGCTGGAGATATTTATTCTTTCATGTGAACTATTTCCAAATTTCACAGTATATGTTAATGCAACAGTAGGATTTAGTAAACCTCTGTCATTTTATTTTTATTGTTAAAGCAAAGTTATGTTTTAGATATTGCAAGCAGTGCTGTACGCTCAGAGGCAGATTTGCGAGCAGTGCTGGCAATCCCCTTGCACTTCCAGCAGAACAGTCGTCAGACAGTGATGCGGTCAGCTGAGGAGGCGGGCTTTGAGGTTCTGCAAGTGATCAGTGAACCATCGGCTGCTGTCCTTGCTTATGGAGTGGGGTTGTCCAACTTGGATGAGGAACAGTATGTGATCAGCATATACAGTTTCTCTGTTAGTTAATACATTGGTGTCTGAGTGATATCTTATAACAAAACTTTTTTCTAGTTACTGTACCAGAGTGATTCCAGGGGAAGTAACAGATTTCCAGTGTTAAAAGTAATGGTCAGGATATTCAGGTTAATGTGTCTGAAATAATAATTTAAGAACTGCAAGAAGGTAGCACCATATATATTGAGGTGCTGTTTGATAGCGAAAACATATCAGTCTGTTATTAATTTACATTTCATGTTATTAAACATTTTGAAACATAGTTGAATAATATACAGCTGCATAGTTTAAATGACGTACAAATACAGCATGTCCATAAAACTAATTAGGTTCCTCGTTTATTTCAATTTGAAATATAATTTCAGAATCTTTGCTAGGAATTTATCTAGTCACAGTCTCCGTGAGTTTCTTGAGAATGTTTGTGAGCCAGTATACGTATTACGTTGAATGCAGTCCTGCATTAGATATGTTTTAAACGTCAATGTTGTCTTGTGTCTGAGTAGACAAGATGGCATATGCTGTGAAAATTTTGGTTGCAGTCATTGCCTGGTGTACCGGCTGGGTGGTGAGACACTGGATGTGACGGTGGTTCAGGTCAGTGCTGGCATGTACACCATATCTGGGACTGTGCACAAATCAAACCTGGGAGGCAACACATTCACGAGGATACTTGCTGACTATCTTGCAGGCGAATTCAGACAGTAAGGAAGCATTACTGGTCTAGTATAAAGTTGTGTTTGTTTGAAATAATGTAATATTAATTATGTTAGGCTACATTTTACCCGTTATTTTGTCACAATATTAGAAGTGCAGTAAAACTTACTTGTTATAAAATACCAAGGGACAAGAACATATTTAAATTTTTAACAGTTTTTCTTAACATGGATGTTTGATTTCAGAGAAACATATTGCACAGTACATAGCACATGTATTTATGATACAATTAAAAGTCAAGAATTCATGATGAGAATATACAATATACTATTACTGGGCAGCACATGTTTTTAGTTGTCTTTCTTATTTTCTTCCTTTTCTTCTTTCTTTCCCAGCATTTTCTTGCTCATATAATCCATTCTGCTATTCTGCACATATTCTTTTGTAAGTTGGGTTTAATTATTTTTTTATTTTTGAAAGAAATGTCTTTTCCAAGTAACAGAAAATAATAAATATTCATACTGTCTGTTTTCCATATTTGTAGTTTATTTCCTGATATGTGTTAAACACATTCTTATTGGTTGGGCCCATAGACATGGGGCCAGAAACATTTTTTGGCAGGCAGGTTTTGGTTTCCTCTTTACTGTATCTTAATGGTTCAGTTAACATATCAAGGTTCAGGTAAGATAACCTTGCACAATGACATTATTTGTAGGCAAAAGAAGAATCGTTTTGTGAGAGGAAGTCAGAGTCTTAAATGTATTTGTAATTAAGGATGAACCCAAAATTGGGGGGGGGGGATTTTCTGTCCTGTCTTTCCATTATTTCTCTAAGACTTCTTAGGATTATGCATGTGTACATGTGTTCACTAAATTTGCTTTGGTCAGTTGCAGATCTGCTGACAGATTTTTCAAAGTTTACCAGGAATAATGCCTCATAATAGGCCATGACATCTTTCTTTGATGTCCTTTCCAAATCATCCCTTACAATAAACCTACCATTAGTTTATGTATAACCTTATGCAGTTCGAAGAAGTGTCATGAAATATCACAAGAATTAATCAGTTGCATGTAGAAATATGAAATACCATGAGTTTGCAGGATTCAGGAAAGAGTTGGTACATTTTCTATTGTCATCTGCAGTCGTTGGAAGTTGGATCCACAGGAGAGTCGTCGCTCAATGGTGAAACTGCGTAGTACTGCTGAGACCTGCAAACATATACTTTCAACAGTGAGCACTGCACATTGCTTTGTGGAATCACTTTGTGAAGGTGTTGACTTCAGTTACAACATTACACGGGCTCGCTTTGAGAACCTTATCACATCCCATCTTTCTGAGTACATGCAGCCAGTACATGAAGTGTTAAAGAAGTCTGGACTTAGTAGCAAACTTATTACCAAGGTAGGTGACAGTCTAAGTGTAGAAGGTTTGAAGCAGGTGTTCATTATACTAACTACATTTCTTCTTTGTGTCTTATTTTAATTAAGAAAATTTTATCAAAATCGAAGGTTTTATGTGTTTTATGTTGAACATTGTTGTCTTAGATACATTTTTTCTTCTCTTCAGATATTTGGTTGTCTTTATTCTGACAAATTTATTACTCTTTTATTTTAATATTAGTGGCGATTGTTTGGGATCAGCTGAGGACCTCGTGAATATTAAGCTAGAATGCTAACCAATATACCAGTGGCACAAAAGTTAAAGATGGTGATACCCATGATGATGACAAAGGCAGCATTTTGTAGTGTAAATATCTTAAAACACTTTTTATCACAATTTCTCTTAGTGGCCTTTCCAAAGGGTGACTATTTTTTGTCCAGGAAGTTCCAGTGTAGTGCAGTTTAAATACCCTACATTAATGCAAATCATCCTTCATGTCGAGCATTCTTTTCTCACAAACGAGATCCAGGGTGCGTTCATGGTCATGTTAAAATTAAGTCTTGTGTGTGGAGATGCCACAGATAGGATAATTTAAAGATGGCTGTTTTATGGGTTGTAGCACTGTGTAGCCTGGTATAGGATTACCAACATTTCAGAGGTACTTGCTGCCTCCATCATCGGGACAATCATCCTGAAGACAGAAAGTACCTCTGAAACATCTGTAAACTTTTACCAGACTACACGGCACTACAACCCAGAAGACAGCCTTCTTCATACTTGCCACCATAAGAACATCAAATCCTACAAAGATAGTTTAAGTTGGATTTTGAATTATTTAAGGTGCTGACAGTCATGAAGAACTGATGCAGCTGAGCTGAAGATAAACCCATTAATTATTCCTTTGTCGTTGATACTGAATTTTCTGTTGTGAAATGTGTGCAGTTGATTCTGAGTGGTGGAGCCATGAAGATGCCCAAGCTGCAGCAGGCAGTGGGGGATCTCTTCCCTGAGTCTGAGGTATTGAGTGGGATCTCTCCTGATGAAGTGATTGCAACAGGTGCAGCCAGGCAGGGCAGCTACCTTGCACGTCCGTTTGATCCAGACTGTGAACATCTTGCCATAGAAGTTCCTGCTGTTTCCAAGCCTATATGTGTTAAGGTAAGCCTGAACATGGAAGCTGTCATATTTGCATTAAAACTTCTTTGCAGGAGATATATAAAATGAGAGTATATCTCTTGATCATGTTGGCTGTTCTTCTTATTTTTTCTTTAAACTCAACAGAGTTTGATGAATTCTGATATTTGAGGGTCAACATGAGAAGCTGTAAGGTGATTTCAATTTGTTCCTTGTTTGTTTGCTGTAACCCTTAATTTCTGCGAAACACAGATCAAATCATCATATTTATCATAACTAATTTGACTCGGTATTAAAACAGGGAAGGAATTTACTTTTACATGAATTCAAGTTTTGAGAATGAGAACTGTCTTATATTCAGGTAAGAACAATTAACATTTCTCAAAACGTTAGGGCCAGAACACAAAATGTATTATTGGACATAAAGGATCTGTATGTAAGGCATACTTGTGAACAGTATAAAAATGACTAGGGAAATGATAAAACAAAATAAAGGGAACAGCAGAATATGTTAGAAATATTACAAGTTCAACAGATAATGTTAAATGAGAATTCTTTTCAGTATGAGGGCAAATTTTATGAACAGTGGTAAGGAATAGCTATAGATTTTCCCAATTCATGTACTGTTCCAAAAAATTTCTTTCAAGTTTTGGAGTGAAAACTACTGAACATGTAATAGAAGAATTATTATTAAGTTTTATAATAAATAAAGTCCAGTGATAACTATGTGTACCACATACTGTACCATACAATAACTCACTGATTCTCCAAAACTGACAACAGTTATTTTCTTAAACAGCATTAACCATTTGGTATTTGTAATAGAGATGCATTGTTTTCTTGTAGTAAAAACGGAATTTTTAAGTTATTTCGGTAGGCTTCTGCTTTGAAGGGTTAACGATCTAGTATGAAAAAGGTGATGGCATAGAAGGTATAGAATTTGATTCTATAACTTTTATAAAAAAAATACAATACTTTAGAAAGTAGTATGTGTAACAAGTTTTATGTGGATTCTGTGGCTTGCTGTGGAGATTAAAGTGGTCTCTGAAGATGGCCTTTACAGACTGAAACATTAAAATTTCAGGTGTAGGTAATGAAAATTGTGTATGATGGCTTAATATTGAATTAGATACAGTGATATAGAACACAGAAATAATTTTATTAAGATTTATTAATTTTATTTGAGAGTTTTAAACATGGTTTGTATTTAATGAAAGCATTTGAAAACTGATGGTGCTTAAAACGTTTCCTTCAGTTTTTTATGATAAGTAACACAGATGGGACTAACCAAGCAGATTGCTGTGGCAGCACACATTGACATCTATTTGGGAAGTACCTGAATCATATCTTGGGCAATCTGTTGACTATCCTGGCTTAAGTTTCCTTGTAATTTTCCTCACTCTCAATGCAATTCTTAAGAGTACCTTCAAATATGCATGAGCCGGGATAGCTCAGTCAGTATAGTAACTAGCTACGGGCTGGACGACCGGGGTTCGATCCCCGACGGGGGCAGAGGATTTTTCCTCTAGCCTCTGCGTCCAGACCGGCTGGGCGTGATGCTGACCACTCACCCCCATCTAGTGCCGAGGTCAAGGAAGAGAGGAGCTATACCTCCACTCACCCCAAACGCCTACATGGTGTATAGTGGGACAAACTTTACTTTACTTTTACCTTCAAATATGCAGACTGTCTTTTTCCAAGTCCTCACCTGCACACAATCCACGCTTATCTTTGAATCACATTCATTGCTATTTAACCCTTGCAGGTGAAACATTGCCATCAAATTACATAACAATAAATCAAAAGATACTAGTAAATAATGTATTTTATGGTGTTGGTTTAATTTTAGGTGTCTGAAGAAATAGGACTCAAGTGCATTATTCCAGCGCTGACGCCTGTCCCAGTAAAGCGCATACAGACACACACCATCACATCAGAGCAGTCAGATGTTACAGTGGAACTGTATGAGACTGACGGGAACTCTTGTGGAGCGCCACTTCTGTTTGGCAAGGTGACCATTGCTATTGTGATACCTATAGACATACAACTTAAATCTGCTAGCCCCTTATGGAATTCCACTCTCCCATTATCTTTCAGTATGCTTCATACAGATATTTTTGTACTTATTACTATTCACTGTTAATGCACCTGGTGAGGGTGCAACTGTTTCTGGAATCCTGGTGTGAAGCACACTTGCTTCATATTTGGGAGACTTTTCAGATGCAGATGAATTATGTGTGATAATCTAAATTTCTTTGCAACGTAATATTTTGTTTCCTATTTCAGGTCCATTTGTTTGATATTGTAGGGCCAACAAAGATCAGTATAGAGGTGAGCCTAAACAGGTAAGTTTTATTGACATCTCAGCATAAATATGGTAGCTTGTTTGCTGATCTGATGGAAAATAAATATAGATTTGATCTAGGGTGATGCATCTTTAATTTGATATTGGATTATTTGAAATACTGTAAATTAAAATTTGTAGTTTCTCAATCAATTTTGTATTGCCATCTCGGTCTCATTTTCAAGGCTGAAGGCCCTTGAAATTTTGGCAGAGTTTAACCAAGTGACATGGCTGCTGGCCCAAGAAGATTTGATTAATGGTTTAATGCAATTTATAATAAAACATTTCAACGCCTCCAACACTTTTCCATGCTACACACAATTTGTCTTGAATTGTCAGGTTTTTGGACCTTGCCCATCGTGTGATGTTATAAAACACATTTTGAGAACTTGATCTGTCCTTGTCCTCAGTTATAGTGAAGGGAGCACCTGCTCCGTGGGATCCGTTAGAATGAGCTAATCCCAATCCATTCGTCTTGCTTAGAGATATTGGCTCTTTTGTTGCAGTGTTGGTGGGATGCATGTTATAGTCACGGATCACAAGAGCCAGAAGAAACAAACATGGAAGCTGGAGGTGTGATGGTATGAGCTTTAGGTTGCATGTATGTAATTGTGTTGTTGGTTGTAAGCAATAAATAATTTTTTTACATATGGTTAGCAGTTATGAGATTGGGAGTCTGTTGCTTTGAGATGGCTGGATCCTGCAGAGTCTGTGATATTATCAACGTATACATAATAGGGCTTGAAGTAAATAGGGTGGGTAAAATGTCATATGTTGCATATTTATTGAAAGATAAATATTCCCAATAGAAGAGGATACAGTCTTAGTGATGTAAGTAGCATTAGACATGGTGTGGAGGAAATGCGTCTAACCAACATATGAATGAAGTTTTAATCAAGTTTTTGTATATTATTTTTACAAAAAGAGTGCATAACAGCTTGGTTGCATTAGTCTACATTTTTTACTCCATAACTGCTGGAGAGATTTCAGTGGATTTTGGTATTAGGAATCAACATCGTTAGTTACCATATGAATTTAATTGTGATGTGTACTTTATTCTTTAATTTAACTTTATTAAATTTCTCGAATGGTTCATCATTTAAAATAATATTTCTTTTCATAAAGTATAGGTCTCATCAAAGCCTATAACTTTTATTTATACATTTTTTGACATGGCGAATATTTAATAGGATAGAAAGAACATAATTATTTTCCACTTTTGAGTGTTGTATGTGTAATGTGATCAGCTTTGCAGCAATAGATTTGTGTTTGAAATGTATGGCTGTCAAGGTCAGTGAAGTGTGCAAAATTTTAATCACTTGTGCCCTTGTAGCTTTGTGTCTGAACTTCCTTTCCAGTTCTATATTCAAAAAGTTTCAACTGCAATTATAACGTATTCAAGTGAGTGGTCATTTTTATGCTGCTGCTCCCAGAAAAAGAAACCACATTACCCACTGAAAAGAGGCTGGATGAGGCTGACAGACAGCTGCTGTGTATACAGTGAAGCAGGGCAGAACATTCATGTTAACCGTGTTGGCTCAGCTGACAAGGTTGTGGTTAGTTCTGCTGTGTTCTGGTGTTTGGAGTATCTCTGAACCATGTAAGCAAGATAAGACTTTATTTTTTAAAGTGTAAGCCAGGGTAATATGGTTAACATGAATGCTGCGCCCCTGGAATGAAGATTTCTTCTCGAAAGTCTAACCCTGGTTGTCCAGCTCCTACTCTCCACATTTATGTTTATCAGTTTATCAACTAGCTGCAAATTACTGAATGTGTTAATAGTGCAAACCATGATGCAGCAATGAGGTTTGACATGGATGACCAGAGTTTGATGCCGGCTATGGATATTGGAATGACATGCTCACAACTGAAGGTTGCAAAAATGCACTTTTTAGTGTCTTTCTTTCTGTCTGTCCACTTGTGGTAACTTGAGAACCACTGAATGGATTTTCATGAAACCTGATACTTTGACTTACTAATATTTGTCAGCTTATTCCAGTTTTGATTAAAAAGAGACAACAAAGCTTGGTTGATGGCCTACATGTATTTTTGAGTAAAAATGACTGCACACTGCACAACCATGTAGGGAGTTCTCCTTTATGACATCATTCATCCAGATGGTGCCATACACTCTGCTCCCGATCTGCCATAGTTACTTGACTTTAGACATCTGATATCAGTGGTGCTGTTCATGATCGTCAGATTCTGGCAGGATTGTTAGGATGTGTATGTATTTCCTAACTTGATCTCTTTTTCGTCACATCTAAGATAGATCTACCTATCCAGTCATTACCAAGGGTTCTTCCCCACCGGAATAGGTGGCAAAGTATAAAAAAAGCTAACCGCTCATCATTGTATAATACCAAAGAAAGAACTTGTGGAGCTTTGCCTTCAGGCCTGCTGTATGTCTTCCTGACATGATGTTAAATCTTGGGTGAGCTGGCTGGAGAATGATCCTAACTGCTGATGTCCATCTAGTGCTGAAGTTATGCCTTCATGACCACATTTCATAATCATACTCTTGCATGTTATCAGGTGGAACCTGCCAGTGGGGCAGTTAGTTTCACTAGTGATATAATGGAATGTTTATCTTGTCCATCAATTAGTATGAGTTGCAGAAGTGACTCCTGACTACTTATTTAGCGAGGCTGGTGTTTTTGTGGTGTCCAACTAATTGTCTGCCGATTAGCACCAACTGGGGCCTTCCTGTCAACCCAGTTATGCCACTAATTAAGATGTACTGAGAATTTCCAAAAGCAACTTTTCTGTTTTACATCCACATTTGTCTCAATATTCATTTGTTGCACATAAAGGTCTGATACTGACAGCTAATTAACAGCAGAGAAACTTGCGTAAATGCTATTTATATCATTCACAAATCTAATAAACAATAGAGATGTTACACTGAGTAGATTGATGTATGTAGCATACATGGGAGAGATGAGAAATGTATTAAGAATTGTCAAGTGAAAACCTGAAAGGAAGAGACTTTTGGGAGAACTAGATATAGAGGGGAGGATAATATTAAGATGGATCTTAAGGTAATATGAGTGACAATATGGACTGGGTTCTTTGATTCACTTGCTAGCTCTTTTTATGTGGTAGTGAACCTTTTGGTTTCATAAGGCAAGGAATTACTGAACTAGCAGGGTCACAATTGAGTTTCTCATGGAGAACTCTGCTATTTGAAGTTTGTTATAAGTAGACTGATTATGAACATCAATTAAATGTAAAAGTTGATCTGTCCCCCAACTAGGTCCATTAAGATCAAGTTCTGGTCCAGGAGTGGGGGAGGCAAGAATGTTACAGACTTTCTCGTGGTGGATGATTTTCATAGTATAAAGAACTCTGCAATCGTCATGTGTATTGAACTCTTCAGCATTGTGCTCACGGTTCTGAGGACTTATAAAAATAAATAAGTGGGAAACTGTATCCAAATTTTCCAATTGTGTTCTTTGCGGATTTTCATTCCTCATTCACCATGATCAGATAGCCCATGTAAAGCATAAATCTCTAAGGAAGAAGATTCACCTTGATTTTTATTTGCTGCAAATATAAACTTATTGTTGCAAAGCTTATCATACTACACTTGCATATACTCACATTATTTTCCTTTGTACATGTACATCATACCAAAAATGTAAAATGAACTCTTAAATCTTAATGCGTGAATCTGAGTTTATGTGTATATTTTGTGTGGTTTATGCTAAGAATGCTGAAAGAGGAAATCTGCAACCACATTGTTACTATGTATGATTGAAAATTACCTTGAAATATTTCCACTGGTTTAACAGAAAGTTCAGATAAACAGTAGGAAGTATCCTTTAGCATTGCTGTGATTAGAATCATGTTGCTACAAATTACACAACCATTGAGTGTAATTAATACATCCTTCATAGGAGTGATTGTCAATCATGCAATGTTCCCATGACAGCCAGTACTCAGGTACAAACCCAATCTGCATAAAGAATTCTGGTGGGGAAACTCCTTAACAAGTAGCCATGAGATTGAGGATTGAGGGACGACGGTATGAACTGGATTAAACTTGTTTCCAATATCATATCCAATAGCAACTACGTTCATCTTTTAGGTTGTACTACCAGATAGTTATTTAGCCAGCTTAGTAACTGCTTGTGGATTAAATGACAAGTTTTTTCTTTTAACAGTCAGAGATGGGTTTTTCTCTTTAGTCATATTCTGACTGACTTTAATTTTCTTGCAGCCACTTGTACGCTACTTGATCGAACAGTGACAGTATTTAATTTTAAGCAAATAATTAATAAAAAATAGCAACTCAACAATGAAAAAGACACCTCTGAGGAATATGCGAATCTCTTTAAATAAACTGGCTTGAAATTTCAATCATTTGTCGCCATTTATAAATCTCGTTGTCATTTAGTGTATAATATAGGCCACTTGTAAATGTTGAATAATTTAGGTCCTATCAGACTGTTTTTGTGGACTCCTGCCTGAAAAGGACATATACTAGACTGAATTTCGTGGACTACCCCAAAAGCTTTATTGTTGAGGTAGTGTTTAGCGTACTTTCCTTTACTTTAAAAAGAAGTTCACCATGCTGTTTGCGTGCGTGTGTGTGTTCCCTTTCAACTTTTGAAACATTTGGAGATTTTTATGAAATTTTGTGCTGCCACCCCAACCTAGTATTTTTTGATTTACTACATTCACTAGTCTAATAAGAACACAGCAGGGGTGGATTTGATATCAACAGAACTTCGTTAATACTGGACTCAGAAATTGTGCATGGTAACAGATCTTTGAAAAATTACAGTTTTGTGTTCTTTTTTTTTGTAGAATGTGAAACAAGAACATGCCAGCCGTGCTAAATTTGTATTTACCGTTTAGTTTGGCAGTGATAACTAGGGTTTGGATGTTCATGACCTAAAAAACCCGAGAAATATGCATGAAAATATGCCCCCCAAAATAGCGAAATATGACCCAAAAAAGGCAAAATATGACCTAATTTGTTATGAAAAAATATTCGCTAAAATTTAAAAAAAACGTTTTGTATTTCATTCATGCTATTTATTTACATATACATGTACAACTATTACATTACTTGATTTCCTTGCAATTTTAATCAAAAACCTCAGACTCTTTAAGTTGTAAATGTCTCATTTTGGATCAGCATCAGATGTTGAGTATACGTGCTCCTATAAAAATAAGATAAATTTTAAGAAAGTGCCTTTCATGCATTTCAAATTCATTAATTACAAATGAATAAATAAATAAACAAAATTGAAAATATTAAGTACCTTTCTTCATTCTCCTTTATGGCATCATTACAATATATAACGATTTGCATTTTCAAGATCTCATATGAAAATCTTAGATTGTCGCACAATATGGTCTTGTAACTTGAGACATCACAAATATTTCATGGCGTTATCGAAAATTACAGCGAAAGAGGAGTGGTTTACTGTATCAAGAAAGAATAAGTCACCAGGGCGATTAGCAAAGAGTGTGCCAATAACGACATTTGCTAGATTCTGCCGCAGACATCCGTTGTTTCATCAACTGAAACCCAAATCTTATTTTCGCCCACAGTACATGTAATTCTTTTCATAACAGGCATCAGTCATGTATTTCTCCAAGGAAAATTTGAAGTGCTCATTGTTCACTTTTTTCAGTTGGCAGACACCATCATTTCGTATAGGAATTCACTGTAAGTGTCTGAGAAATGTAGTAACAAGTAAAAGTTTGTACTCAAAATATAAATTTTATCCTCAAAATGTAACCGAAATATGCATGTCACTACAAATATGACCAAACACATAAAAATGACCTAAATATGTATTTATATGCAAAATAAAAACAGCTTAATTGTGATTAGAATGACCTAATTAGTGTTTAATTTTAGTTTAGAATGAAAATAGAAGCCCCAATAAAAAATATGACGTCATGAACATCCGAACCCTAGTGAGTTATGTATGTTTTCCCAGTTCAGCCTACATGCTGCCCCCATTTAATCCATTTGATTGAATCGCCCTAGGCTAGCTGTACATGTCATTATGCTGCTTCTGTTACTTCCTCTCGCTTTGGTCCAAATATTCTCCTCAGCAGTTGTTTAATTCGTGAGTAGGGTGTGTGTGACAACCATTCATCTATCAACTACTCTGCTGTGTGCCAGTGTTTTGTTAAGTGAACTCGCTTCACTAGCGCCAGTCGCTCTGAAGCTTCATTGGCGTTAAGTTGTGTGCAGTAGTAGGTGAAATCGAGTGTATGTGCACGAGTCGTCTCAAAGCAGCGCTGAAGTCATCTTGGTAAGTCACGTTGCATAATTTGTCTTTGTTATCTTCAAACCACAGTAAACAAATCATAGCGAACGGGTTTGGCGCTGCTTCTGACAACACGGTCACCATGAAGGTTTTTTGGCTTTAAATGACATTCCCAGTTTACTTTCGTTACTCGATTGTTTGTATTGATGTTTAACACCAAGTTTACAAACACTGTACACTCTTTTGCCAGACTTGTTTTTGTGATGTCACATCTCTCGTTGTTTGTGTATTGCATTTAAAAATTTACTAATCTGCTGAAGTTCATTTTCGCTACAAAGCTTTAGATTTGTATGCGCGATGCGCTGATTCGAATCTCGGCCAGGGTACCGAATATCGTGACTTGTTTTCGTGGATTTCCACGGCCCTTTCAGACAAATGCTGGTATAGTACTTTCAGATAAGCCCCCACAGTTTCCACCCTAGTTATTTCAAGTTCACCAAACGTGACCAGCCTCTCATATCGTTCACAACTCTTATAATTAATTACTAACTTTTATTTATTGTAGATACATACCGACTGTTGGTCTCAGTGTTCATTTATCGATTATCGGCCTCTATGCGATGTTTGTTGTAGTTAGAAACCCATACAGGTGACTTGTTATTCGCGTTTTCGTGATTCGCGGTTTCATTTGAGCATCGTGAAAACATCAATATCCTATCTGCGGCCAAATTGTAAAGCCCGTTAACCTGCGTCGAACCTTCTCCAGGTTTACCAGGGAATGTGATGAAGATGATATGCGAAGCATCAAAGAATTGTGGTGCCAGTTTAACAATAAAATGGTGTTTGTACGTTTCCTATTACGCGTGTTTTCAGTACGTGCGGCGATTTGCAGAAACGCAACCCCCGTGTTTGGATAAAGAAACTTATTATTCTGCCTCCTTTTAAAATACTAAAGATGATATTTGTATTGTAATGTTGCGAATTGCGGTCACTTGGGGGAGGGGGGGGAGGAGGAGGAGGAGAAGAACGTAAATTACAAGTGTTTGAAAATAAGGAGCTCAGAAAAAGAGATTGAAAACATTAAGTCGGTGGGGACTGGAGGCTGTTAATGACGAGAAACTTTGTGATTTATGGAAGACCAAGAAGGAGGTCTTTCGAACTGGGCCAACGCCGTATCCATGGCGGTCATAGGTATAAACAGTGTTAAACCTTCGGTTTATGTTCTGGAAGTCGGTTGTATGCCCAGTATAACAGGGATTTTTCTTGAGCAGCTGAGCAGCTATAACTTTTTCGATTAAGATTCGTCGCCATGGCGTTATTATAAAACAGCGGTTTTATTGGACCCATAGGGACTGAAATGAAATTCCCCCAAGAACGTTAGTATATACCGTAGATTAATTAGTACAGACGTTAATATTCTGGAAATGAAACACGTGGAGAGAGGCCGACTTCCTCATTATCCACTCATTTAATGCAGTTCGTGGAAAAAAACTTAACAGACTCTTCGGCTGCAGTAAGCACGCAATCTGGAATAAACAACCAGAATATGTAGCATATTATCGCTGTGTAGCATTGAGATAGCTGATACTGACCTATGGGCTTGAGAATTTTTGCGTCGCTCTCTGTGTGCCAACAAGTGTGAATGGCGCAAGAGCGTAAAACAGGACACAGCATAGGTCTACTCCTAACCAGTTCTTATTAAACTAATATTCTTATAGATTGTGAATTTTGGTATATTTATTTTTGGCTTTTAAACTGCATTGGTTATACACTGCGTGATTGTGATGGTGAATTTGTAAGATGCTGAAGTGAATGTTGTGGCCTTTCTGAAGGTAGTTTACGATCCCAGAATCTTTCTGTGCAACCGAGGAAAACCACGAAAAACATATTTAGCAGAACTGGACTCCAGGTCGACAGTCGAATCCGGGTCATTCTGACCTAATCACTCGATTATAGCGTTCACTCACTCTGTGCTGGGCTGTTGGTGTATCTCACGCTGAATAAAGTGACCGTTTTTTCTTCATCTGGATAACTGATTAAAACCCAGTTGCTAACCAAACGTCGGGACTGAGTGGTTATTGCTTCTGCTTCGTATTCGGGAGACTCCGCTTTGAAATCCCGACCTGGGGACCGACTGTTCTTCTGATATGTTTAATTTTTTCCTCAATACCTCAGTGAAATAGCAGGAGAGTACAGAAAAGCCACTACCACTTCCTTCCACATCCTGTCCAATTCACTTACAAGCACCAGTGACATATATTAGGGTGGCCTGTTCCGGTTAAATAAATTTGACCCCTACATTACATGTAACCCAGCGAATTTCACAAATGTTATTGTAACTGATGAAAGACTCTCGGGTTACCAGCTGGGCCAGGTGGCTGAATGGTGAATGAACCATATCTTCTGCCAATGTTTTGACAACAATCTCTGCTGCCATCCTCAGGGCTACTGGGTAACAAATCCGATTCTTTGTTGCGCCCTCGCTGATGGGAAAATGGTGGTGGTTATTGTAACTGTTCATCGTATAAAAATTATGGTACGCGTTGATTACATAGACACTGGGGCTCATTAAAATCTAACATTTTATTTGAATAATTTACAGATGTGATGTGCATTGTGCTGTGGTGCTATTCGGCTTGTAACAATTAATGTATAACGAAATTAATACCGAGGTAGAACTTCACGCATTGTTCTGTGACTCTCAGGCACGTATGAATTTGAAATTAGTCTAATTATGAGGCTCTGAATGGTTGAATTCTTTGGATGGGAGTTAGACCCATCGCAGGACAACACAGAAGTTCCAGGAAACGTCTTCCAAACCTCGGGTGGGTATAACAGAAAACTACGGAGACGCATCGGATTGAAATCTGCGATCCCATTGCGGTCCAAGACTGCGTTTACATCCAGGTGTACGGATTCTGCGATCGAACTCCTTATTGTCATTATCATTATCTCAATCACTGTGCTGCTAGTTACCAGCCCGTCGTGCTCTAGAAAGAGCAATATGCTGTGACCTGTCGAAGCTAAGCTGCGAAGTTGGACATCTATCAACACTCAATAAAATATTAAGGTTATTCAGTATCATACTATGGCCATTCAAGTGTCTGTCTTCATCTTCTATCCGACTAGTCGTGCTACTTTTTCAAAGGATTTACAAAGCCTCTGTATCAGCGGACAGCGAAGGTCGATCGGGCACCAAAAGTCAATTCTGAACTGAAGGTCTGCCCTTGTCCATGCTGACGGGCGACTCAAGAAACCAATCCTGGGCCGGGGTGTAGCACCAGGAATTGACTGCTGACAAAGATGTGTGGAGACGATACTCATATTGATTGGAACATTGTTTCATTCATGCGTTTAAACTCGACGCAGTGTACTGGTGTTCGCGACTGTAAACAAAACCGAATCAACGCAGAACTGAAAACGAAACCTATTTAAAATAACATAAATTCTGGTAGTGACATATTTTCACATCAGATGTAGTAGTCTTACCGCCATGACTCGGTCGCCTGACCCTCATTTGTGAAACGAGCGCTTAAGACTCCGAAGTAGGAGAGATACCACACTCTCTACGTCATGAGCGCACTCAGTTCAGAGTGACGTAGTCAGATTGGAACTGGTTTTCCACAATCCGTGTAAATTCCAGACCAGTTTGAACCAGTCCACACAATGGAGCACTCCTACTCTTACACACGTACGTAACACCTGTTTTTTATAAAAACAACAATGTCAGTTCCGAAATAACCCTCTTCTTCTTCTTTTCTTATTCTTATCCTCGTTTTCTTATCTTGACACACCTTCTACTACTCTTTGTTGTTCATCATCCTGGTTTCCTTATTCCTTCTTCTATTTGTATATTTCTCCAGCTGTAGTAGGCCGATTCCTGTCATCAGGAACCGAAAGCTTCAAGTTTGATTAATGTCTTTATCTCAGGGGAGAAATACATTGGCTTCGACTGGGTTGGGTCTCAGAGTCGGTTTAAACATGGTGGCGAAAAGAAAAAAAACTGCTTCATTGGGTTTTCGAATCCCGGGCACTTAATAAGCAGCTAGTTAAATAACTAGCTGAGAATCCCAGTGTAAAGTTACAAAACAACACATTTCTGTGAGGAATGAATTATCTTTGGCTCTGAAGATCGAGGCAGTATGATCATCCGAAACGTTAGTACCTACTTACATGTGCGCATGGCGTTACAACTCTGAAGACCACCGCCGGCCACGTGCACCTTAAATCTCAAACGGAATTCACAACATCGCAAGGGAAGTATTTGATAATACGCAAGTTTAAAGTTTGACGCTGCTGGAATCCAAGCGACTTGCGTTCAAGTAACTTTTGACTTGTGTGAACAAGGCTTTAGGGTACTTGGAGGCTCGAATCTCGTGATTCAGATCTTGCCCTGACTCGATATTCGTCCTTATTTTCGTGTGTTTTCCAGTTGTGTGACGGCCTTGCACGTGCCCGTTCTTGTTTAAAGAAATGGTTTGAATTGTTTATGCATTTGCAGTCGTGAGCGACAAGTATAGTTGAGTTAACGTTAAACTAATTAGGCCTAATGAATTAATTGACCAGTCCCTCCTGGCAAATGTTTATATAGAAGCTCAAAATAGGCCGTGGATGCAGGCTTAAACCTTGTTCTCAGCTCCTTGCTCGTTAAAATTTAATTTCTCATTCGACAGTAGGTATCCGTAACGAAGACCACGGTACTGGGGCATTGAATAGCAGATATTTGCTGAGCGGCATTTATGGAACCCTCATGTCTATTACCGTGTTCACAAAAACTCTCCATTGGACCCTATCCTGAGCCACTTGAATCCAGTTCACCCCTTCACACCATAGGTTACTTCTCTGAAACATATTTTAACTATATCCTACAGTCTACGTAAGTACACAGGTTGAGGTTTTCGGGTCAAAATTCTGTATGCATTTCGTACTTCCCCACTCTTAGGCCTCCTACATTTTGCACCCACCTCACCCTTCTTTATTCTACGGCAGTAAGAGTAATAGGCGAGTAGAACGAATTTTGAAGCTCCTCATGCAATTTTTCCTTC